GGAGGGGGCCTTGAGGGACATTGGATACAGTGCAGCTGAATGGTTTGAGCATTGCAGTTGAGAGGGGCCTCCTGGTGTCCAAGCTTGGTTCAACCTCACATTCCGAAGCAAGAGCCCCATCCTATCTCTACCAAAGCAAGCTCACCTTCACACACAGCCCTGGACGCTCGTGATTTTCGTGTTTTTGAGATCCTAGCTGTCTTGTCTCTGCCACCTTTCCATCTGTTATCCGATGCAGTCTGGCTCAGGCTTTGCCGGTGATCAGTGGGACTCCAGGAGGCAAAGGTGGGTGGACTGAATAGAGAATTCTTTGCCGGAGTCGGCAGCGAAGAACACGGAAGAGAAGCTTGAGGTTGACGGTGCTCCCTGTGTAGCTGGCTGGGTGCACGGGGAATCCTCTTGGGCTCCTCCGTAGGTCCTGGCCATTGATTCCAAGGAGCCATGGGCAGCATGCCTGCGTTTCTTTCCTGGTCCCAGCCAGACCTGACTGTGAGGGAAGGATCAGTTGGCCGGAACGATGAGCGGCGCTGGCCTCTCTTCCTGTGGCTGTGCCGCCGGACCTCTGCAGAGACCTCCTCCCACGGGTGGCCTGGGAGTTGGCCATGCTCTGCAGACAGATCCCGCCTCCGGCCTGCATTCTCAGTGCTGGCCTCAGTCTGCCTTTGGAGAATGCGGTTCCTCCCTGCCCGAGTGTCCCACTCGCTCAACAGCCTCTCGATGCGTCCGGCCTCTGCCTGGGCAGCCTCCAGTCGTGCAGTGAGGGAGGAGTGGAGACTCTCCAGACGCTGACAGGCTAGTGTCACATCTTGACAAGTGGGCTCCTCTGAGCAACGGCTGTGAGGAGGAGAAAATTAATGGATCAATAGTGACATTGTACCGTAGGTGAACCCCGCACTGTGGCACTTGTTGCATATGCGTACATTCATCCCTCACGTTTCTTTTGGTGAGGCGTCTGGAACTGGCTCCTCAGGCGCCCTATTCTCTGCTTCCAACCTACCTGGGAGACCAGCCAATCTGCGCAGCAGGGGGAATTCACTCTTCAGATGATGCATTTGAAGTTATGCTGAGCCTGCACTGCATCAAGAACCCCACTGCGCCTCCAGTCCTTGCCATGCCGTGGTCCCTGGCCCCTCATCGACTCACTGCCCAATGATCTGTCTGCGAAAGTCTGCCCAGGCACGGTCCAATGACTCCATCCGTGTATTTTTTACTCAGTTCGAATTCGGGGAGTCTGGTCCATGCCGATTGGCATCGCAGCGATGGGTGGGAAGGCGTCCCCTCTCAGTTCTCCCTTCCTTCGTCTAAATTCGCGCCCTAGTTCTCAGCTGTGCGGCGCGCTCGCGGACACAGCGACTTCAAGCCACCACCAGCTAAGCACCATGCGATACATTACTCATGTTGCTAAAAGCCATTTCACTAATTTCTGCCCTCCAGTAGAGCTGCCGCTAGTGTCTGCCGTCCCTCACATCCACCCTCGCGACACGCCAGTGGGCGCAGCAGTGCCACCGCGGAGCGCTTGCCTGGCCACATCCGCGGCAGCGTATCCGCCACAGAATATAGGTGGGCACTGCCTGCTCCCGCCCGGGCATCGAGTACTGGAAACTTTCTCTGCCAGGACCGGCGACACATCCCTCCCAGTTCCGTTTGCAGCCTTTCGTACTTAGACATGGGTAAGGCAAAGCCTGCACATCACACCAGCGCTGAACTCAGGGCCAAGGCCAGGGCGGCCACCCAGAATGTCGGTGGTGGGGCAGCAGGCAAGGTGGATCGGTTAGGAGGTCAGGCAGGACATCAGAAGTTTAGGTGGGTGGGAAGGATCAATGCTTGCCGGAGGAGGGGTAGACACATGCGAGCGCAACAGAAATCAGGTGGCTTTATACCTGACTGGATGACATGTTTAATCGCCCATGACTCTCGCAGTGCAGCCTGGGGCCTTCCCTGTTGTGCCCTGCAGTGCCTGGACTGGCCACAGCTCTTCTGACAGCCGTCACTCAATCTCCTCAGGTGCACCGTCTGCGGTCAGAGCGCCCCCGACATCAAGACCGCTCAGATTCACTTCGAGGCAAAGCACCCGAAGATGCCCTGGGACCCCGTGGCGGCCGTCGCAAATGTGCACGAGCTCCATGGCGGAGTTACCACAAAGGTGACGTTTTGTTGTTGTGGGCAAGCTTCTCTGACAGTGGGAGAGTTTGCACTGTGCTTTGGCCTTCACATGCTGTGGGCGTGATTGCCACTCACCCCTCTAGATGGCACAAGGTCGTGCCGGAGTGCCTCACCGTCTGTTGGTCTTTCTGCTGCCCGACAGCTCAAGGGCCGAAACTCATATCGTGCACTCTAATGCACGCTCCATCATCCCTTTCTTGCCAGGGGGTCGCTGTCCGTGGAAGCATGAAGAAGTGAGAAGGTCTTGATGGAGACCTCTTTCATGCACCCAACAAGCATTGTAGGCAGTGTCCTTTAGACCCTCGACACTTGCTGAGGGTGCACTGTCCATCGTTTAAACTATTCCAGACTACTTTAATCCATGGAGATGCTGGTCCTTGGCATGGACTTGCATCCTGCAAAGGCGTGCTTAGGCACTGTAAGCACCCTGGTGAGCCGCCGGATTGGTGGGTAGGGTTTCCATGGCCGGCCGTACACCGTCTCGCGGCAACATCTGGGAGGTGTCGCGGACATGAGCCCGCAGACATGCGCGATTGGACCCCGATGTACCATCGTGCGAGCCCGTCTGACATGGGCAGGCTGGCGCGGGAAATTCAGGAACGTTCGCGCAATGTTCAAAGCTTCCAACTAAGGAGGTGTTTTCCTAAGCGCCAGGATCGTGCTCCGGGTTTCAGGGTACACGCTGGGAGGAAGCTGCTCATGGTAAGAGAATGAGATCCGGGCGCACGTGCACGGCGGTGCGGCCGTCGGACCAGATTCCCGTGGTGGCCAGGGCCTCTGCAGGCCATAAATGATGAGGGTTCGGGTCCCTGCTGAGTAGCATCTTCGTCGAGGCCACCTCCCAACAATCAGTCCTCGTCACGGAAGCGGCGAGCGACGGTGTCCTCGGCCCCGACGCGTAAGGTGGTGCCTCCGCATACTAGGGCAATACTTAAATTTTCAGCCCACCAGATCCAGCCCATTCCACACCAAAGTCGCCCATCATTAGATATCAGACATTAGAGCAGTATGGCTTCCCCGCCGGTGGCGTACGAGGTGGACAAGTCCGGCCACGACAAGGAGCAGCTGTCGGGAGTCTGGGAGCGTGATACGGACCTGGACGCTCGAGTTGCCATGGCCCAGAACAGGGTGAGAAGGGAGAATTTCTCACCCTTGCAGGAGGAAAATACAATGTACTCCCCAGTACTAGATCCTGGAGCTGCTGGGAGTGCGCATTCGGCTCTGCAAGAACAGGATGCAACCCACCCTGTTGTCCACTCCACTCTCCATCCTACAGGAGAAGAAGAGACGGGGCTGGCCCATGCTGTTGCTGGCGTGGTCCTCCTTGGGCGTCATCTATGGAGGCAAGTGTGGACAGCCTTCTTTCCCGGGTTGGAGAGCATGTGTGGCAGACAGGAATGGGAGTTGGAGCATGTGCGCTTCCATCGGGAAACTTGCCTCTCCAAACCGCTCATCAAATGAATGTCCTACAACCCCATCGCATCCTTCTCCACCATGCAGACATTGGTACATCGCCCCTATGTAAGTCACTGCAGTCATGCTGAGAGGGATGAGTTTGTTTGCTCTCACCCACTGGATTCTTTGCGATTGACAATTTACAACATCCTACTGATTCCATGCTCAAGCCCATACTTTGCTCAGACACGTTGGGGACTCTCTTTGCTGACGGTGCTCCTGATGATGAAGAGGAGATCATGGGGACCTTTTCGATGGTGTGCCACCAGGGAGGGCGTGCAAGCTGTGAATCCAGAGCAAAGTGTCTGCTCCACTTCCCCTTGCCGTGCTGCCTGGCAACATGTCGCATCCTTGGTCTCTTGCCTCTCCCAGATTTTCTGGTACCTGACCATCATTGTGCTGATCAAGTACGTAACATTTGCCCTACGTGCCGACGACAACGGAGAAGGTGAGCCAAGGTGCCTAGCTGGCACGCGGTGCCTTTTCCCATGGACCATGTCGCAGACAGCCCATTTCCTCGCTGGTTAGCTGGAAAGGGAGGTGGCCTGAAATAGATCCTTCTGCCGACCTCGATCCGCCCTCCAATCCCTTGTAGGTGGTACATTCGCGCTGTACGCCATCATAAGCCGCGCCTGCAACCTGAGGTCTGGCGGCGCGACCCACACCTCCGACTTTGAGCTCTCAGGCTACGACCCCCTGGCATCGGCCACCGCTCCCCAGGGCTCAGACGTGGCACCCGCCCCAAATGCGAATGTGAAAGTGAGGAGCGGCGCCAATGCGCGTGTCAAGAGTGAGTCGTGCCCGGAGGGTGCGCTGGTACCATTCTCCATGGCTTCAGGAGTGCATGCTGCAGAATTGCGCTACTCACAACTGCCACGCCCACCCATCGTGTGAGCAGGGGCGCTGGCCACGAGCTCTTTCCTGCAGGTTCTCCTGCTCTCCATCACACTGTCTGCTGTGTGCCTCATCCTGAGCGATGGCGTGCTCACCCCCGCGATCTCGGTCGTGTCGGCGGCGCAGGGCATCCAGTACCAGTCCAACATATCCAACGGCGAGTTAGGGTCTGTTGGGTGCACCTTGAGAGATCTCATGTGGATTGCGACGGAGGGCAGGGTCGGTGTGCCATGCTTCGAGCTGCTCCTGTAGAGACACATTGCGCCCATGCCTTGTCTTTCAACTTGATGGTAGCGGCCCCCAAGGGTCTGAGTACTTGCCGCTCGACATCAAGCAGGCCATCAGGAAGATTCAAGACTCATCATTCCCCTTTACAACAGATGCTGTGGTGGGGATTAGCATCGGTATCATTGTCATCATCTTCTCAGTTCAGCAGTTTGGCACCAAGAAGATCAGGTGTGGTGGTCGATCTGTACTGTGGCCAGGAAGTAACCCATGACCAGTCTCTGCGTGATGATGGCTGAAACAACATGCGAGTCCCCTGTAGTTTGCATGCTACCACGGTCTCGGGTGTCTTGCTGGACATTCACAGAATTTGCAGCTTGCTGGTCTCCAAGCTCGGTCAACCAGACCCTCAAGCTGCCCTCCTGACCCACCCTGCAGCTACCTCTTTGCTCCTGTCACCACCATCTGGTTCCTCGCCATCGCGGCCGTAGGCCTGTACAATATCTTCAAATTCAGGCCCGCAGTTTTCGCAGCCATCTCGCCACACTACCTGTACTACTACTGGAAGGTGGGTCTGCTGAGAAGGAGCGTGGAAGAGGGCTCCGTGTGTGTTTGGCAGATATTTGCACACCAGCCGACAGGACATACTACAGTATCGCTGTTGAACCTCCAGACTCAAGTGCATTGCTTTGGCCTCTTCTCCATGCCAGGCTGGTGCTCATGAGGCATGGGTGAAGCTGGGGGGCGTCACCCTGGCTCTCACCGGCGCGGAGGCGCTGTTTGCCGACCTGGGTGAGTTTCCGGGGCAGGGGAGGTGAGACGGATGCTGCTCGTGTGGTTTGGCATTGAGTATGTGGGGCATGCCAGGTGGTTGCTCAGCAAGATTGGAGGTCTCTGTCTACACGGTCTTCTTGCAGAATGAGGGGCATTTCAGTCCTTTGATAAACCCATTCACTCCTCAACAAACCGCCAGGTCACTTCAATGCTCCGGCGATCCGGGTGCGCAGATACCCGGGCACCTAAGATATCACTGAGAATGAGTGTCCCGTTCCAACCAGCGGGCGTACTGCACCAGACTCCGCCAAACTGATGCGCCCTGGCCCCGTGCCTGCCCCTCCCAAACCACAACCCCCACCCCTTGCACCCTCCCAAGCGCAGACCAGCTTCATCGCGTTCGTCTACCCCTCCCTGGTGTGCGCCTACCTGGGTCAAACGGCCTTCATCATCCACGACCGCTCGGCGGCGCCCACCGCCTTCTGGTCTTCCGTGCCCAAGCCGATCTACTGGCCCATGGTGGTGAGTCGCCCTGCATTGAGGAGGGGCATGGTTTTGCCCAGGATTACGGTGGGGGGCCTGGGGTTGCATGATCTGACGAGCTGGAGGCGCTTCGCCATCCCAGGGCCGCCGGGACGCCTCTTTGCTCAGAGAGGTCCCGGCGACCACTCCCTCCGCTCCCACCTCCCCTCCAGGTCATTGCCACTCTCGCGGCCATTCTCGCATCTCAGGCCATGATCACAGGCTGTTTCTCCATCGTGCAGCAGGTGCCGGGTCAGGCAGGGATGCACCTGGTGTGATGAAGTGTGTTCAAGGGAGGCCTTGCCCGTGCGGCATGGCCATCCCCCCTTGGAATCGCAGCAACTCCTTTTGCCCCAAGATCATGGTGGCATGCCAGCCTATGAGGCACAATGACCCCTCACCGACAGGCCGTGGCCCTAAACTGCTTCCCAAGGGTCACCATTCGGCACACCGAGGCGACGCACCGGGGGCAGGTACCTGGGCCACTTCCTTGGTAGACCCCGGGTTGGCCACTGGCCTGGCCCCGCCATGTGCATCACAAGCCTCCCCCGAATCCAGTGCCGCCCACAGATGCTCACCCTGGGGAACACGCATGCCCGCAGATCTATGCCCCACAAGTCAACTGGGTGCTGATGGCAGGGACGGTGATCGTCATCGGCATATTCCAGACCGGGCCCGGCATCGGCGCAGCCTACGGTGAGAGGGGATCGTTCATGTGCCTGGCTGGCGTGACGCAGCCAGGCAAAGGGCCATGGGCTTTTCCCTGCCCAGCAGACCCATGCGCTTGCACAGGCACCCCAGCAGCCTCTGACCCCTGGCCCTCACCACCATCCCTCTCCAGGTCTGGCCGTGGTTTCCACCTTCTTCCTCACCACCTCCCTCCTGTCACTGGTCATGCTCGTGGCATGGGAGTGGAACGTGGGCTGGGTGCTCCTCTTCTGGCTGCCGCTCTCTACGCTGGAGGGCATGCTCCTCTCCGCCAACGCCCTCAAGGTGTGTGTTGGCGGCGAGCATTGTTTTTGTGATCGCTGGGGCAGCGTGGCTCAGCAGGCACCTGGCGGACTCGAGCGAGGGTCGACGTGCTTGAGCGGAATGGCAGACCATGGGATGCGGACAGACTGATGAGCCTCTGGGTCTAGAATGTAGGGCCCAGCAGCTCTGAGCAAGGAACCCCAGACACCAAGCAGCGCTGCGCTTTCTCACGACAGACTATGCGGATGCATTCAACACTCCAAATCTCTTCCAACAGGTTCCCGATGGCGCATGGTTCCCCTTGGGCGTCACAGCGATCCTCGTGACCATCCTCGCCACCTGGACCTATGGTAGGCTGGGCGGGAGTGACTGGCTTATGTGGAGGGTGTGTCAGGGCTAGGCTGAGGTCATGGCTCCTTGGCTTCTGCGCAGAGGCTATGGAGGGCGCCACATGCATGCGCTCCTTCCCATCCAGTCCGCCAGAAATTGTACCATACAACTGAATTTACACAAAGCAAGCCCCGCGCCATCCTCCAACCCATCCCGCATGCCGCGCCTTGCAGGCCAGAAGCTGAAGAGGGGGTACCAGGACCAGCACCGCTCCTACCTGCTCGACCTCCTCCAGCCCGCCGATGGGCCAGGGGCCGGGCCCACCCAGGCCCTGCAGCTGGCGGGGTCCAGGCAGCGGCTGGGCGTCGCGCCCGGCATCGGCCTGTACTACACCGAGAGCCTGGCGGGCGTGCCCCCCGTCCTGGCCTTCCTCCTCCCCCGCATCCCTGCCATCCACGAGGTGACCGTCTTCCTGACCGTGCGCCACGTCCCCCTCCCCACAGTCCACGCCTCGGAGCGCCTGCTGCTCAGGTGGGCGGCAGGTGGCACGCGCTGTTGCTGAGGAAGAGGGGATGGGTTTGTGTCAGATGATGACTCCTGTAGCCCAGGGATAGTGAGAATGGGAAAAGGACGCTTGGTTCCGTGTGTCCCAATGGCTAGACCCCGGTGCAAAGCACGGCAGCCTGCTGTGAGGCCACTTTTCTCCCTACTACTTGCCGCAGGAAGCTGCACTACCAGGGTTTCTACCACGCTGTCGTGAGGTGAGCCCTGGTCTTGCAAGTACCGCCTGCGTTCCTGGCCAAGGGGGACAGAGGAAACCTGAGGGGTCGCGTCCAACCAAGCAAACTCTCAGCCCATCCATTCCCTTTGGTACATTTCCCCAAGGTACGGCTACATGGAAGCTGTGGACCACGACAAGCAGTTTGTCGACACCTTGGTGCAGGTATGGACTTGTTCCATGTTAAGTTGAAGGCAGCTGGGTCACGCCGACCTTCTAACACCATGCAAATTTGGAGGCTGTCGGGTTGGCTTCGCATGGCATTGGACTGAAGTTTCAGCGCTGTACAGCGTGTGGTCAACTTTCCATTCACATTCATTCAAAGGAGGTTCCCCTTACTTCCGGCCTCCTTCCATCACAACTTCCCCAGGAGCTGCTGGACTTCCTGTCCCCGGAGGTGATCAAGGAGTCCGAGGCGGCGGCGGCGGACGAGGGCTCGCCCTCCGACGTCACCCTGGGGTCCGCCACGGGCCGCGCTCGTCGCAGCCTGGCCGCAGCCGCCAAGGCCATCGCGGCGGCCCATCGCGCCGCGACGGCACTCAAGGCCGTGGATGAGGACGCCTCCACCAAGCAGGCGGGCAAGGCGCTGGTGGGGCAGGACGGCAAGGACACTCCAGGCCTGGCCCTGCATGTGGAGGAGAGGGAGGGCGCACCCTCCCCCTGGGTCCAGCAGCCCTCACAGTTCAGGTGAGGGAGGGAGAGGGGTTTGTGGGAAGGACACCTGCGCATGTGTGGGGCTATCCTCTTGGGGCACCTGCCGTTGCCACGCTGGTCGCTCACAAGCCCGACTTGAGCTCTGGCACCCCCCTCACAGGGCCTCGCTGAGGAAGAGGCGCGGCGCCAGCCTGTCGGCCGACACATTCCCCACAAATGGTACTGTGCAGGGCAGAAAGGGTGCATGCGTGAAAGGACCAGCTGGCACGTGGCTCCTCTGCAACGTCGCTGGGTGCATTGCCACACCCTCGACCGTCCCCTGTCTCAACCTCTCCACCCCTCCCCGGTCCCATCCTTGCAGCCCCCGCCCAGAGCGAGCAGGCACTGGTGGGCGCGGCGGCCGGGCACGGCACGCGCTTCATCTTGGGAAATACGCACCTCACCCCTAGCACAGACTGCGGCTGGATCAAGGCACGTGCAGCTGGAGCCGGGGATGAGTTGCATCATTGTTTGGGATGCACATGGCAAGTATTGCCCTCCAGCATGCTGGACCCGATAACACAGAACACAAGCGTGCTGGTGACCTGTCAGGCGCTTTCTCACCGCATCCTCAGCCCCGCTCTCCGTCCTCACACCAGGCGTTTGTGGTGGAGACCATGTACGGCGTCCTCTCCAGGAACATTCAGAGCACCGCCCAGACGTACCGCCTGGACCCCGATGCCGCGGTGGAGGTGGGGATCAACATGAGGGTCTAGAGCCGGCAGCCTGGTGCCAAGCACTCGTCGTCGCTGTGCGCCCTGGCAGCGCACCACCACACCAAGCCTTGGCCCGCACCACTTTCAGTTTACTGCACCTGCTGTGTGGCACACCGAATACCTACACTCCCATCATCATACCTCTATGCTGTACCCCACTGTAGCTCTGCTGCCAATGCCTTTGCCCTTGCATGCCCTTGTGTAGATTCTTCGAGACCAGCTTGTGACATTTGAGATACGCGTGTGCAGTGAGACTGGCGACTGGTGATACATGTCTTTCCGCTGAGTACCCCCCTCCACATGCACATGCGCATGCGGTAACCATTCACGAGATGAACATGTCAAACACCTCCTTGCCCTCCTTGCCCAGTTCCGTGAATGTGTACTGCGCTCCCAGCTCGGCGATGCAGGTCTGGAGCAGCGCCGAGTCCTCGGGCGGGACCTGCAGCCCCAGCAGGACCCCAGACGATTGCCGGCCTGCAAGGGGGAGAGGTGGGGTGGGGTGTGGGCGGAGCTCCCTCACAGGCTGCAGCCGACACATTCCTGCGGCGGCATGCGCCCATCACACGGTGCGCACGACCCCTCCCACGGTCAGGAGCAGCATGTGCCCCGGCGGACCCTCTCAGCCGCCCACCTGTCCTCCGGTAGTGGAAGAGCGTGATGTTCCAGATGGGGGACAGGCGGCGCAGGAAGCGGTACAGCGCCCCCGGCACCTCGGGGAAGTCCACCTGGAAGATGCGCTCGTGCACCAACTGGCGGCCGCCCTCGATGCGCGCCCGCCCGCCCACCAGGTGCCGCAGGTGGAGCTGCGATAGGGTGTTTGATGGGGAGGAAAGGCGGAATGGACGGGGGCCCTGAGTCCTGGTAAGTTGCAGTGCACAGACCTGGCAGTGGAATCACTCTGCGATTCCCAGATCATCAGGCCGAGCTTGACGAATGCGTTGTGCCTGTCAGCGCTGCCCCCTGCTTCC